GAGAGGGGTTGGCAAGGCCCCCCACACTGAAGATTTTGGCTCTAAGAGACAAAGGGCCCTTCTCCGGGGGGGGGTTTCAAAGCACAAGCTCGGCGGGAGTTTGCAAGAAGCCCTTTATCTCCTCCCACTTTTATCATTAACTGTTCCCTCTGTCCAAAAGACCTCCAAGTGAGTAAAACTGGGAGAACCAAGCGGCAGGGTCCCCGGCCATTTCCCAGAAGGCCGGGCCACGCCCTGAGCAGGAGGGCTGGGGTCTGTAGAGCTGGGATCTGTGCGCCCTGCCCGGTAGGAGGGGGCAGTGGCACTGGCGATCGGGATCACACTTCCCTCCGAGTGGGGGGTGGAGGAGAGGCTGAGGTCACCCAGAGACATTCTCCCTGAGAGTTCTGTGTTTCCCCATGGCTATTAAGGAGCAAGGAAGAGTCGTTCGGCTTTCCTCAGCCTTTGGGGAGGGGTGGGAGGTCTTAGCTTTCTGCTTCCAGTAGCTTCCTGCCGCCTCACACACCTCTAGGGCCCTAGCAGGGGTTGGGAGTTCTCAGGCCTTGGCCATCCCCAGCCACCAGGATAAAACCAATGGTCCTGCCAGTCTGGGAGGGAATTTTCTGGGTGGAGGAAGCCTGCGGGGGAGGGGGGGGGGGCGGGGGGAGGCAGAACAAGCTGTGGAGGGAGCAGGGGGATGCCCTTTCGACTTGAGAAATCGAGCCCCTCCCACCCCCTACCTGCACACTCCACTCTGCCTTTGTGTCCACTCTCTCCTCCTAAAGCAGCTGCGGGCGGGGAAGGGCCAGGTGAAGGGGGCAGGGCTGTGCAGCGAGGAAGCGGAGGGGGGACTGCCCACAGCAGAACAGCCCAGCGGCTCTGGAATGCCAGGCATCCAGGTCACCCGCGGCTGCGAGATTACTGGCTCCAGCGAGGAGCCAAGAACAGCCTGGCGCTCGCTCCCCAGGGAGCGGAAACGCCTCCAGGCCGGTTCCCCCACGCCCCTCCTCTGCCGGCTCCCAGAAACTCGCAGTGACTTCCTTTGTTTGGCAGATCCAGGGCCCAGAAGTAGGCCCTTTCCTACCAGATACCCCTATTCTGCCTCCTCCCAGCAACTGGTCCTCTCCAGACCCCCAAGGGCTGCAGCCTCTCCTTACTCCCCCACCACCCATCACCTCCCTCCTAGAGACACAAGCCGTGGCCACCTCGCCCCACCCTGCCAGTACAGCCCAGCCTACCTCCTGCCCCACCCCACCCCCTTCTGTGCTGTGTTCTCCCATTCCAGGCCCTGAACTCTCCCGGAGGAAGAAGGAGGTGCTGCCAGTCAGTGCTCACTCCTCCTGGGGCTCCACCATTTCTGGTCACCCCCTACTAGCCGTGCCAACCACAATAGGCTTCCTGAAGGTTCTTTCCTCAAGGCCACCCTCACCCAGACACCAGACACCCCATTCCTCTTCTTGCACCCCCCAAATATCACTATAAAACAAAGTAGGATCATACAGTAGGAGCTCAATAAATGCCTCTTTGATTGCTACAGCTTCCTGCTGCTGAGCTTAGTGCTTCCTCTGCCCCACCCCACCCCCATGCACCTCTCCTTGAACCTTCCAGCTGTTTCTTCACCCGTGGCCCACTCTCCATTCCTGCCATTCCCACAGAGCCTCTCTCTCTGGTCACTGGGGAGCCCCTAGTCACTGGTCTCCAGGGCCAGGGTACCCTGTTCCCTCGAATCTGTGGCTCCTTTACTCTGTTCCTTCCTCAAGCTTAGCCCCTCTCTCACCTCCAGGCCACAGTACCTTTCCAGGCCCGTTTTCACCCTCCGCGCAACACTAGCACAGTGCAGTTGAGGAACCAATGAAAGACTGAGTGGAATAGCCAATAATCAACTCATCTACTCTTCAAGGCGGCTTCGACCAACCCCTGGAGAGAAGCCTCCCAGCCCCTTTTGGGGGCTGCACCTGTTGGTTAAGCTCCAGGAACCCATTTTTGCTGTCTTCAGGGGCTGCCGTGCTCCTCGGCTTCTCACCTGCGCATTGAGGATCCCCAACCCTTCTGTTGCCTGAACCTTTGGGGAAACTCAGACTCCTCCTCTCTTTCCTCTCACCATCTCCAGGGCGATCCTGCCTCCTCCACTGCCCACTACACCTCTGCTTCCGAAGGACACTGCACTGATGGTCAGCACCACAGCTCAGCAAATCACTGCTCGCCAGCCGTCCCTTCTTGTATTCACTGATCTCCCCAATAAATAGAGAACCAAATCTTCTTCGGAAGGCGCCCCTCGCCCCAAGCCCAGTCCAGTGCTCGGCACATAGTAGGCACCCAGTAAACCTGTGCTCAAAGCCCTGTTTGACAAGGGGAAGATCCAGTCTTTACTGTCCAGAGGGGCTTCCATGGTCCCATCACCCATCCACCTGGCCAGGCTTCTGAGTGGGACCCCTACTCACTCTGAGCAAGCAGCTTGGCCACCATGTCCTGACTGCCGGCCTGGGCCTCCTGCGTCTTGCTCGCCAGGCGGCGGTTTGCAGATTCCAATCTCTCTGTTTGAAATAAAGGAAAGATGTTTGAGTATAAATGAAGCTGCCTACCCAGGTGTCCCCTGGAATCCTATCTATGGGGCTGCATCCTCCAAGGTAGGGATAGACTCATAGGGGAGCCCATGGATCAGATCAGGGCCTGATGAGGAAGGAGCAGCTAAGGCCACATAAATGCGAGTTCCAAAAGGGGCTCCAAGGTCCAGAACTCAGAACGAGCATCTCCATCAAGGTGGCCCCCAGGGGTCTCAACCTGGCCCTCTTTGAGTCAATTTACACTTCTTTTTGCAGAGGACAGATCCAGCTGGGTGACCGGCTCTCACCTCTAAGATCCCGGTTGAAGTCCTGCAGCCTCCTCATCTCACTGTCCATCTTATTCCGCATGGTCTTCTCCAGGGCCTCCCGCTTGGAAGAGGCTCTCGTCAGGCTCTCGTGGGCCTCAGAGAGCCGCTGGACTTCGCTTTCCAGCTGCAAGAGACAGACAGCAGAGCTGAAGGGGAGAGCTCCCGGGCTGTGTGTGGCTTCAAAGCCCCCTCCACAGGCCCAGGCTGATCTGCTCTCCATCAGAGAAGGTGAGAGGAGAGGATAAAAAACGAGAGCAAAAAATCCAGGTGGCGACAGTGGGAGGGTCAGAAGCTTGCAGCCTCGGGCCATGGACCAGACTGCTGGGACCAGCAAGCCAGGGTCCTGTCAACCTTCCTAAGGCCCAGATGCCTAATGAACCCAGGACTAGGTACTCCAGGGTGACTAAACACAGCTTTTCAATCTGAGCCCAGTGGGCCAGCAGTGGGCACAAAAGGATTCCTGCCATGTTCTGAGGTTTAACCTATTTTAGACACCACAGGACAGCCACGGGAGGTTTGAGGCCACCGGCTAAAGCTGAACACACCACAGTCGACCTTCACTAAAGAATGGGGCCCTGGACCCCCGTGTGAGTCACCTCTGCCCAGAGTATTTGCTCCTCTGGCCATCGCCATCCACTGTAGAGGGCCAGCCCGGCCCAGCTGCCCCTCCCACTTGGCTGCTGGCAGGTTCCGCACGTGCTCCTAGCTGGCCTGTGATTCCAATAAGTCGCTCGTTTTTTCCAAGAGGAGGGGCTTTCTCTTTGGCTAGGATTGGCCTAGAACAGACTTGCTGTTGTGTGGGGGACACAAAGGGCCCTCTGTGGGAGGTGTCCGTGGGAGGGGAGGGGTGCGAGTGTGCAGGGAGCTGGTGAATGAGCTCTTTCTAATCATCCCTGGCCAGCAACTGCTCATGCTCCAGACCTGCTCTGCTGGCCTCGCGGCTGCTCCCCAGCTGTCTGGAGTCAGCCAGGGAGGGTGCATGAGGGATTAGGGGGTGGGGGGGGCAGAGGGACGGGTAGAAAGCCCAGCCAGACAAGCTTTTAGACTCTGCTGCCTCCCCTTCGACAGCCCACTACCTCAGTCAGACTTTCAGGTCCTTCCTCCTCCTGGCCCCTGAGGACTCAGCAGGCCTACCTTCTCCATTCGGGCA